CGCAGCGCGGTGGGGCCCAGGGTGCGGGCCCGGAGGGGGGGGGGGAGCGGGGCGGCGCGGGGCCGGCGCAAGGCCGGGAGCGCGGGCAACGGAGCCCAGGTGGCGCCCAGCGCCCGCACCGCACGCAGCGCCATCTTTGCCAGGGGCGGGGGCGGGGCCTGGGCTTGCGCCTCGGGGCCGGAAGGGGCGTGGCCTGCCCAAGGGGGCGGGGCGAGGGCAGCCGGGAACGGGGCAGGAGGGAGGAGCTCTGCGCATGCGCATAACCACACCCCTTCACCCTCTGCCCCTCCAGCCACCAACCGCCCAAACCTATTTATACGAGAATTAAAACCCGTGAATCATCCATCATCATAGTCACCTGTTCAAAAGGGGCGGTCGTTTCTGAGGCAGCTCAAGTTCCTCTGAGGAAGGCTTGACTGATTTTTTTAGCAGGTGTCCTGTCAGCCCTTCCTCGTGCCCGCTGGCCTTGAAATAACGAAACGTGTCAACGTTGACGACCCGGTTCTCACTGGGAGTCATAGTGAGCAATGTATAGCTATCACACGTAACGAGACCAATTTGCATTTTTTTTTTTTTGCATATTCTTTCAGCGGACATTGTTTTTTTAGCGAATACGATCATTTTGAGCGTCCAGTACAACCATTTTGTATTTAAGATGTGGCAAAGCTGCTGCACAGACGTCTTGGGGCACTGGGCCAAGCCTAGGTGTCTCCTCATGGCACCAGGTTCAAGCCAACATGTCCCCTCATGGCACCGGGGCCACGCCGAGGTGTCCGGAGCAGGTGGCTTCTCCCCCAGATCAGTAGTGAACAAGAGATCACATAATTTGCCTCAAGAAGGAGGCATCAGCTCGTAGCTGCAGAAATGGAGATACCCAGCAGGCTACTTCATAGACATTTGGGCTGGAAGGGACCTCAGGAGACCATTGAGTCCAGCCCCCTGCCCCAGGGGCAGGAAGAAATACTACTGGATTCAAATCCGATTAGTTAAGATAGTACTGACAGTGTTAATGAAACATTTAATCTCAATACTATAAAAGGAGAGATGCTTAGAGTTCGCAGTCTGCAAACAGGGAGACTATCAACCACGATGAGATGAGTCTGGTATTAAAACCTCTCCTGCTTGCTTTATATATGGGAGGGAGCCTGGGTCCCAACCGGGCTCCTTGGGGCGGCCTCTGAGCGCTCTGGCGAGGGGCGCGCGGGAGGCGGCGAGGACAAGGAGCTCTGCTTCCTCAGGCCTGCACCTTGCACGCGAGGAGTCGCTGTATGACCCCAGCCCCGGTGCTGCGAATTTGGGGCCTGTGGACTCGCCCGTGGCATTTGCCCCGTTCTTCCTTTCCAAGCAGCCTCTAAATTTTATGTGAAGAAGGAAGCGGGATGCCGCCAGGTTGGCTGTGCGAGGTGCCGCCTCACGTAGCTCACGTTTCTTTCCAAAAGCTGCATTTTCACCGGCCTCAAGAGCCTGGGGATTTGCCCACACGCCCCGTGGCTGTTGGGTGGAGAAGTCAGAGGGCAGTTACTTAGTTCCCATGTGTGGAAAAATACGTGAATATTTGAGGAGGGTGATTCAGGAAGCTGTCAGGAACTTGCCTCTAGAAGTCAGCCACCCCATTTTTGACTAGACGGGGGCAATCGATGTGCAGGTGACACAGGCCAACTGTCTTTCTGAGGATGTGGCCTTTGTGCCTTGATTGGCACTTGGGATGTGTGCTTAAGTTGCAGCCATCGTAGTCTACCTCTCCTGTTATTCCCCCTTCTGCAGTTTATAGTTTGCAAATAGGCCCCAGTATGACAAAGGTTGAGAACCACTAAACTAGATCATCTATAGTGGTTATCTATAGCATCAGAAATGGGAGTGGTGCTTTGATTCTGTTGGATTTACCAGAAACTAAACAACTCTTGCCAGAGAAGAACTGAAGGTTGCATTATCTTTGGGTAATTCTTCCTGTGCACATTCAATCAGTGGAGGAGATAGTGCTACTCAAGGAAGACAGTGACCCAGCGTGGACCTACCGTCTAATGCAAGGGTCAGCAACGTTTTTGGGCACAGTGCTGAAAACATCCGTAACCCTGAGTTATAAGATGTCGGTATGCCAGGGGCAGGGGAGCTGCAAGGGGCCCGATCTTTGTTGTGGCAGGACAGCTCCAGCCCCTTCCCTGCCATCCACCCTGAGGTGCACATACCAAGCAAAATGTCTTCATGTGCCACGCTCTGGCACCTGTGCTAGGGGTTGCCTACCCCTAGTTTAGTGATTGTCAGACCATTAAGTAATGATGGTGCCTGGCTTCCCCAGAAAAACAAAGACTTAGCTTGGTCTCAAGTTACTGACAGAGTACTAAGTTTGTTTCCCAGGAGCCACTACCATTTAAGTTCAAAATGTATCAGGAGTTTAAGGTATGGTGGGTTTAAACGTATGTTCCTTCAAAAACTTTTTAATCCCAGCCTGGATAAATGGTTGTGTCTCCTGCTGGCTCCACAATTGACAAACCGGTAGTGTCAGCAAAACTTTGCAATAAATGATTAGCATTTATTAAGTATACATTGGTAGATTTACAGAAAAAAAAGTAAGTATGCACTACTGGACACATTACTCTAGATTTACTATTAGTTCTCTGGTAATATCATGTAACAACATCAAATAACACAAAATGTACTTCTGTTTGTGCCACACTTCTTCAAAAGGATAATATATGTAGGAGCCACAATATCTAAGTCCAACTGCAGCAACTATTGGTTAAAATGGATAAAGGAAGAGGTTTTGCATAAAGCAATTGCTCAGTAACCTTGTTAGGTGCTGGTAAGTTCTTTCAGTTCCTCACTATCGGTTGTCTGCTCTTTTTTGCGCTTAATCCCAAGGAAACTGAAAAGTTTCATCAGCATTAGATCAACAATCTCTTCCTCTTCTGATGCCTAAACATAACAACATAAAAATAAACATTCAGGATGTGGTAGTTATAGATGCATTATTAAATCATCAAATAAACAGTGTAAAATCCTGCCTATTAAAGCCAGCAGCAACTGATTTCAACTAGGCCAAGATTTTACTTGTGGAATCTAAACAATTAGTGCAGATGTGCTGCGCACAGTTCATAACTTCTAGTTAAGTCAGGGGAGGTCACATACATACCCCGACATCAACAATGCTTATTAAGGGCTCTACACACAATACTGCAATATCAAAGGGGATTTTCTAACTCAGTACCTACAGCTCCATATTTTTGGATACAAATTATACTGCACACGATCAGATACCTACAGCTATAATTTTCAAAGAAGCTACAAGCCAGATTTTAAAAGGTCAAATCCTGACCCCACTGAAGTCAACAGGACTCTGCCAGTGATTGAAATAGAGCCAGGATTCCAAACTAAATGGATCTACAGTGGACGTGTTATAGAAATGATAAATACAAATAAGATTTGTGCAAAAAACCTAGGTATCTAGATGCTTTCTGTTTTGTGTATGCACATTATCTGAGAGTGTATATATTCTCGATCATTAGGCTGAGTGGCTGGGTTTAATACAAAAACTTCTGTGAACAGAAATGAGCAGTGAGCTTTAGCAAAACCCAACATGTTCATAACTGGAACAGGCAATGATCTTAACAGGACTGTGTGTTTTTGTGCCACCTAGCACAATGGGACAGCCCAATCCTGACCGGGGTCTCCAGATGCTCCCATAATATAAACATTAATGAATAATAAAACAATTTAGATGAACACACCTGGTAATATTTCTGTTCTTCGCTAAAAGCAACCAATATAACTGAAATGAACAGGTTCAGCACCACAAATGTCATAAAAATAATGCAGGATCCAATTAAGAAGGAGCCCAAAACTGGATTATAGTCCAAGACCTAGAAAATAAACAGAACAAAGCATTACATTTTTTGTATTAAAGCAGAAAAAAGTTACACTTTGGAACAATCTAATACACTGAAACTATAGCCTGCCTGTATAGTACACAACATATTTCCTTTCTCCTAAATGATTTTCGTGCCTTGCTTCACTGCAGTTTAGGGTTGATAGAGCATTTTTTCATATATGTGATATATTCAAACATATTGTAGGCAATACTCTATGTTTTTAATGTTTGTGTGCAAGTTTAGCTATTAAGGTGTTGCCTTGACAGATTTAGACACCAAATATAACCTATTTATTTGTAGAAGAAAACAGTGCAAGCAGCAAAAGCTTTGCCATATTCACTAATGGAATTCACACTCCCGACACTTTAGTTAGATTTCTCACAGTGGCAAATACAATGCGTGGCAGGTTCCATTTGCAGTTTTGAATTCTAAGTGTTCATTGATTGACAAATGTTTAATTCAGGGACAGTATATTTGACTTGTGTAAGACAGGCACAAGATAACCATGTCGGAGCTGCAGGATTATGGGCACTGGCATTACACAGTAGTCTTTAAAGTTCTAATATGACTATGGAGTCATCTTAATTATTAAATGACGAGAAACCTGTAAAACAATCAAAGAATACTAAGAAGAATTCATTTAATCCACAAAATAACTGCCTAAAGAATATTTTAATACTTGAAAACATTTCTTGAGAGGTCAAAGGGTTAGAAACATTATTAAGAGACTAAACATTATATTTGCTCCTTTTTGTGAAGGGCAGAAGATCTCCTTGTAGAACTTCCCCAAGAAGCTGGTCAGGTTTTGTTTCATGAGGGTGCATGTAGGAGAGTAACAACTACCGCTGTTGTTCTTTAATCAAATCTTTCAATAATTTTGCACTGACTACCAGACAAGATAGCTATTTAAAACCTGAGTGCATTTTCCAAAGAAAGGTGTAGGAGAAATTCAATGTGGAATGAGCTATGAGGTATATATGAGGTTCTTTTTTCGTGTCTTGATGAGATTGGCTTCCATATATAAAGTAGTCAGGAGAGCCTTTAATACCAGACTCATCTAATAGTGATTGATAGTCTCCCTGTTTTTAGACTGAGAACTCTAAGCATTTCTCCTTTTATAGTATGAATATTAAATGTTTCATTAAAATTAAGTAAGTACTGTCTTAACTAATCAGATTGTAATTCAGTAGTAGCCTGCTGGGTATCTACATTTCTGCAGCTAAGAGCTGATGCCTCCTTCTTGGGCAAATTAAGTGATTGCTTGTTCATAAGAACAACACTGCTGCTGCAGTTTCTACAGGAAGTTAGCTAAATATGGCATCCATTTATTCACTAAAAAATCCCAAGTCCTGCCCTATTGATTCTATCAGATTGTGCAATACTTTACTGAATAGCTGTATTCTTACTGATACATCCCTGCCTTCCCTCCTCAAGTCTTCACTGTCATCTTGTTTCCCCCCTTCTTAAGTCATGGTGAAATCATCTGTAATATCCATAGAGCAAAGATAAATCAAACAGTGAGAACAGAAATAATTAATAAAGTGGGGTGCTGACTGTAGAATTCTGACCTTTCTGCTTTATCTCTTGGAACCTCTTCTTTTTTTTTCTGTCATCTCATTTTCTGTATCTAAAATAGTTCATTTTGACCAAAAGCAAAAGGCTGCTCTTTATGGCCCTCCATCCCATTCAGTTGAATGGAGAAAAGTGGGACTGAGCTTGGGTCTTAAGTACAGAATAACTAGGTTTTTCACTGATTCTGTCTGAAATTACTAGCAACTTCAGCTGTACACTCCCTGGGGCAGGAGCCACCTCTTTGTTTTTTGTTTGGAGAATGCTTAGCACAGTGGGGTCTTGTTCCATGACTAAGAACTTGAGATGCTCAATAGCACAAATAATAAGGCTCGGAAAGTCAGAGAGGATACCTCCTCATAGTTGAAGATTCCCAGCTGAAGGCTGACCATTGTCTCTGCTGAATCGAAGAGGGTTTTGTAAGAGTGCAGCTTCCAACCAAATATCAGATTAGTCTGTAGGGGAAAGAAGACAGACTTTTATTCTTATCGTGAGGTTTTGTTGCTAACTTAAGTTAATACTGCGTATGGCCAGAGAAAGCTCTCTTGGTCTAATATTAAAGTTACATGGCTCAGGGAAGAACCTCTCGCCTGTAGGTTACATCTCCATCCTACTTGCTGCTTGGGTCCTGATATATATGCCCATTGATCAGCCTACATAACAAATCATCTTCTTATTCAACTCCTGCCTTTCTCAGGGATGATAATAGGAGTTCTTGGTGTAGAAGCAAAGAGAACAAAGTAAAGAGGTTTTTGTGCTTAGTTCAATAGCATAGAAGCAAGCAGTAGATAGCCTAAATAAGAACCTGATTTTTTGTGATAATCTACACACTTGCAGCTCCAATTAATTTTAGCTGTTATTTGTGGACTCAGTGGGTTCGTCTACACATTAATACACTGTAATTATGGAGCTTTAAGTTTAGTACAGGTCATTACAGGCAGGGTCATCCCTTTTGGGGGGCGAATTGGGGCAACCACCCCAGGCCTCGCGCTTTGGGGGGCCCCATGGAGCCGGGCAGAGTGGTATGGTGACTCCGCACTGCCGCTGGCTTCATGTCTGGCCACTCACCATCCGCCCCCACCACCGCCGAATCTGCCACCAGCTTCCTTGCATCCGGGGGCAGGGCCCCATACAGGCTGATATGCCCCGGGACCCGCACCCTGCTCGGGTTGTCTCCAATTACCAGTACTAAACTTAATGTACCATAATTGGTGCTACTGTGCATTTAGCACAAATTAATTTTTTTTGTGATGCTAGTGCGCATTAGACTAAATCTACTGCACATCAGCACATAAGCATGGGTTCTGCCCACTGTGCTACTGTGCAGTAGAATTAGTCTTCTGTGCATTAAGCATCTCACGTAGATGCACCAGTAAGTGCAACTTAATATCATAGGGACAATGCTTCTCAACTATTCTGTAAACTCAGTACATGAGCTGCTTTACTGGCCATTGAAATGCAGCTGCCTCTGGCGTATTTAACAGTGCATGGCAACGCTACAGAAGAAGTGAAAGATAACAAACGTTGATTGCTCTTCTGTTTGTTTATTTGTACACTTCTCCATGTTGCTAATCCCCAGAGTACGTAAGCAATTCATACACACTATTGAACAGTGATTGTAAGCTCTTAGAGGCAGGAACTATGTTTTCTTCTGCGTCTGAACAGCACCAAGAGCATTTTACATGCTATTGCATTGTAATCAGGATGCAATGATGTAACAAGCTGCACTGTTAAGAGATTATTTTTTATATTGCAGTAGCACCCAGATTCCTTCAGGGTCACTCGTGCTAGGCTCTGTACAAACACATAAAAGATGGTCCCTGCTTAGAGAGTTGGCAATCTAGAAGAGACAGGAAGAGGAAGTATTATTATCTCCGTTCTTTAGGGGGGGGGAGTGAGCTACAGAGAATAACTGACTTGTAAGTGACCGTACAGGAAATCTTCTCCCAAATCCCCGTCTCTTTAATCAGGAGATCACCCTCTTGTCCAAGATTAGTACCCTGATCAGAATCATCTCGTCTTTAGGGGAAGTACTAGTGGCAGAACCTTTTCACTAAGACAGCAACTGAGAACAGACGTGTAACAGCCTGCTCTCCTCTACCTGAAAACATGTGCACAGAGTTTCAGCCACAGCAATAAGTATACCAATTAGTTACATTAATCTGATTGAATAACCAAGTGAATTTCCGTTCCTACATGACTGGCACAGGGAGAGAGAATTCAGTGATTGACAGAACCTCCCCCTTCCCACCCCCAAAATTTTCCATTCATTTATTTCACATGTTCCAGGCAATGGCTTTCCTGGCACTGTCAGCCACCGTCCCTGTTTGATTAGTCTGTTAGATCATTGCCCACTCAGCATTTTCCTGCCCTTTACTCTCTGGCACACTGGCATCTTGCAGAGAAAAATCTGCATCTTTTATCATGTAGTTTGTTTGTGAAGCTTCATTTCAGTTTGCAGAGAGCAGACAAGCCCAGAATTATACTTGCCACTTCTCTGATGGAGAATGGGATTTCCAGCAACATTTTGAAGCTGTCAAGCTGCTTAGCCAAGATTTAAGAGAACAGCTGCATTCCATTTCACCTTTCAAAGCTGCATTGCTCACATGATTCAGTAATTATTCATTTGATCTGCAAGCAGGTGACTGCAGACCCAAAACATCAGAAACCACAAAAGTACTCACAGCGATAGAGTAAGCCAGGAACATGATTGCAATAACTGTGATGAATCCAGAGATGTCACCCCATGCCCTCTTCAGAGTAGAAGTGATCATGTTGAGTTTAGGGTTGAGCCTCAGGAGATGCCACAGTTTCACTGTAGACAGAAGTACTAGGAAAGCAATCAGGTAGCCAAGCACTGCATCAGCTGTGGCAGTTTCATTGAAGCTTACACACCTATGAGAAAGGAAGATTAAAAAACAATATGTGAAAATCCTCCAGAGCAGCTCTCTGCAAACTGGTCACTACAAATGCTGCCAGGGCTTTGCTGCTGGGTCAGCATGGACTCTCACTTGAGTGTTGTCCTTATCTCCTCTTTCTCTCACTTGAGTGAATGGTGCTTTCCCCACAGACTGGGTGGCTTGACAGAATGCAGGCTGAAGCCCACATGTTGCTAATACTCAGACAGCCAGTTTTTCCTCTGCAAACCCTAAGAGAATGGGCCCCTAGTGCTTGGAGCTTTCTATTGTATATTGTAACAGAGTATACTAGCAAGGAAAGGGTTATCCATCTTACTCTGGCTGCTGGGCCAGAGCATATTTCCCTGTCATGTGTGTAGGGA